GGCTGGGAGGCTTCACCTTCGACTTTGAGGTCATTAACCAAGGATCAGGTGCAATGACTATCAATTTAGGTGGTATTGTTAATTTAGTTAATCTTTCTTTTTTTTTCTTTTTTTCTTTTTTTCCCTTTTTCTTTTTTGGGGGTACACTTTCCTTTTTCAAAATCCTTCTTTCGAAACTTCAAGATCCAAAATCATAAGAAAAGCTTCATTAAAAAGGGTTAAATTTTTAACTAATTAAGTCAACTATCCTTAACAGCCTAAATTTAATTTAGGCATATATACTTCCATTGCTTCGAGTTTGATGAGTTTATTTGAAGAGTTGGCATGTTTAATTTGTCACTTGAACCATGTACTTCTTCTTTTTCCTTATAATTAATGCATTAATTATGTGTCAGTCCTTAGAACCGCTTATCAAAGAGAATATCTCCAAGTCTAAAGTGATATTAGCTCTTAACTAATGAACTGCTTATACCTTCACTGAAAAAAAAGTACAACATGAACCAGAATCAATTATCTTAAACAAACTTAAATTTTTTTGGCCAAAAACACTCTCTTCATGGAACAAGATTGTGTTGTCTTGGGTCCTTCACTTCAATCTTCCAATGCCCATCAGAAAAACTACCATTCCTTGCTCTCGCTCTCCACGCCTTTATCCTCTTATCCACCGCCTCCGTCATGGCACAATAGGGTCGCAGCTCCTTCGGTATGGCATCATAGACCCGCCACCACATCTTATGAGCCTCATCACTAGCAAAAATCCGGCGATCAGCATTATCCCAGTTACAATCATAGTCCCTATAACACGTCCACGGTTTCCACCCTAGATAATGTATGGCATAAACATCCTCGGGAATGCCTCGTTCTTTCTTCTTCCCAAAATTCTTCAGAAAATTGACCTTCGTTGGCCACCGGTGCCACCATGTGAACACCTCGTTCAAAAACCCTTGATCACCACCGTTGTAGGAAGCCACCGTGAAGCTCTTCCGCATCAAATCCTCAAACATACACGAAGATGGCTCCACCAACATAATCCCAGAATTAAACAAATACCTGTCGTTCTTTGCAGCTGAGAGCTCCGGATAAACAAAGAAATCCTCAATGTTTTGAAGAATTAAAAGATCAGCGTCGATGAAGATGACTTTATCATAGTCATCCAGTTGCCACACACGAAGCTTGCTATAGTTCCACTCGTTGTAGGAGTCTTTCTTGGAGAAGGGGCTACGGATGCGGTGGATGCGTCGAGTTTGCCAACCCGCCGCTTTGAGTCCAAGGAGGGCGTGGTTGGAGATGGAGTCATCGTGGAGGAGGATTAAGTCTTTGGAAGAGGATGTAAGGCGGATGCTTCGAGCTAGAGCTATGGCACCACAAACGTAAGCTTCGGAGGAGTGGAGGATTGTTACGTATGCTTTTCTTGATCGTGTCAGATTGGTATTGCTGTAAATTATCCAACCCTCTTCCCCTGCAATTAATTTAAATTTGGCATTTGATTTGCCTAATTACCCTATCCATAAATTTGATACTTAACCCTAGCTAGTTGAACCAAAATTAAACACTACAAAATCCTTGGAACATGTACAATATAGGAACAATGAAAAAGCTCAGGCCATATCGTTACAAAATTATTTTATAAAAATTCATATTTTTATATATTTAATCTACAAATAAAATATTTAATAAAACACATCTTAATAATGTATAGAGTTTCTTTAAAATCACATTAATATTATTTTATTTGGATCACATTTTATATACCCAAATAAAAAAAATTGAATTCAAATTTTTTTAAATGAAAGTTCAACCTTTGATCCAACAGCTAGGCCATTGGATCTAACAAAATGCTGCGGTGCATGGCGCATGTTGGTGTAATGATTTTACATTTAAAAAATAAAACAAAGCTTATTCTCTATCGGGAGATAAACTCTCTTTGAGAATGAGCTCCAATACATCATAGAATTTTATTTTATTTTTTTAGAAAGAAATAATGAAAAAGAACACCATTTACATGTTCTAAGTAAGTTTTTAAAAAATTATGATGCGTAGTTCTTAAAATTTAATTAATCAGCCAACTCAAAAGGCCAAATGTTCAAATCCTTTCTAAAATAGATATTCAAATTTATGCATGAGAAAAAAAATTTATTTGTAAGCCAACTTCCTTTTAATCTCCACATTCCCCAAGTAATAAAATAAAGATGAAAATCTTTTTTAATCTTACATTTTACGAGTTCACATTAAATATTTGATTTCATCAATCACATGACTTTTGTCATCCAATAATTAATTTTATCTTAGTTTCAAAACTGATTATACTTTTGAATTTTTAATTTAGAAAATGGCAAAATGTCATGGAGCTAGCATTTGCTCATTTTAATTAATTAATGTTAACTAACTAGCTAAGTACCAAGGAAAAAATTCGTGTAAACTAGAACTCACCTGCTTCTGCATAAGGAGGAGCAAGTTGGCATGACCCAACAGGCATCAACACCTTCTGCTTCAACCTATTTAGCTTGGGCTTATACACCGAGTAGTCTTCCACCTGCTTCACCAAATCATTACACCGGAAAATCTCCAGCATTGGCCCAGAAGATCCACCAGCAAAAACCGCATACACCGGCCGAGCAACCTCCCGTGTGATCCAACCACTCTTCACCACAAGATTAGCCACCACCAAATTCACCTGTAATACAGCAAAGTCATAAAATTTCTCTAAACTTGTATTGATAAAGGGGATATTTGATGTAGAAATTTACAAACAGTTATCAATTGTTAACTTTAATTGATCAAATTAAATATTTTGAATTGTGAACAACAATGATTATAATTTATTAAATTTTAATTATTAGTTATCAATTACATCGAAACAACTAAATTAAACAACCTCAAATATGTTTTTCAATTTGAATTGAAAAAAAAAAAGTGTAGTTCAGGGGGAAAGCACTGTTTTATATCTTTTTTGTTGAAATAGTTTAGACTGAAAAAACCCCATCGTATCTACCTGTAACCTGAACAAATCTCTTGAACCTCTACCACGGGGAACCCTAGCCACCACCACATCGAGGTCTCGGTAGTCCTCTAGCCGTGGCATCGGGATCTCCGGACATTTTGGTAAGCCCCTCCTTGCTTTCTCATCGACCCATTCTGGGAAAAACTCTTCCCATTTCATGTCCTTGGATACAGGATCAAAGCGTACGTTGACAAACTCAGCTAATCCATACAGATGATGACTGTATAGAGCCGACTCATGATCATCAATGTTGACTAAACCAATCTTGATTTTCCTTCCTTTGATCTCTCCGCCAATAACATCGAACCAACTTACATTCTTCTCTGCGGCAGCTAGAGGTGGCTGCCGGAGTCTAGCAGTACTCTGGGAGAGGCTGTGTCCAGCGGACTTAAACGGCGACAATACAGTGTGAGAAAGGAACAAGAGAAAGGAGCAAAAGATGAGAGTGAATGTGAAGAGATTCTTGTTGAATGCCATCGTTGGAATACCTACTATAGATTCATGAATCATGAGGCCTCAAACATCTAAAAAGGAAGGGTGACGATAGAGTGACAATTTGTTTATCTTATTTTTTTTATACAATTTTTACATATCATTAAATGAGTGGATATATTTAATATAATGAATTTTACATAAATTAAAAAAATTATTTATTTTAATAATACGTCAGATTGTAAAAAAAAAATCAAATAAATTATTGTCCTAATAGCATTTAAAAAAAAAAAGATAAATTTTGAAAAAGTTGTTTTATATGGGAATTTGGTGAGAATTTGGTAGGGAGACAGACAGCGGGACACAAGCACAGCCGCGACGGTTTCTATGCGTGCGATTGTGCACGCATAACCGCGACCTTTTGGTGCCAGTCAAATTGTCTTCTAATGTAGGAATTTAATTTTGGATGACAACAACTTTAAGTAAGAATTTAATAAGAAAATTTGAATTTAAATTGAATAGCTCAAGGTGGGTTAATGAAATTTTGATTTTATATTTGAAAAGGAAATGCTATTGAGACAATTATTTTATCACATTTTTTTATACAACCTGATGTGTCATTAAAACGATTGATTTTTTTAATTCATATGAGATTTGTGATATTAAATACACATACTCATTTAATAATATGTAAAAGTTATATAAAAAAATAAGACAAAAAAATTATCCCAATAGCACTACTCTCTATTTGAAATCTCTAACTTAAATCTCGTTGAAACAGAAACTCGTGGGTGAAGTGGGAGTGCGGGGTGGGATATAAATGTTGTGTGAAGAACTATTTGACCTTTTTTTTTTATGGTGAAATTAAAATTTAAAATTTTGAAAATCGATTTTAATTAGTGGGAATTTAAATTGTTTCCTTTTAACAGGTTAATATGAATGCAAAGGGAATAATGATTTTTCGTCTGAAGTCTGAACAACAAAAAAAATAGCAATATATTTTTTTGTTTTATATATTTAGAATCAATTGAGTTGATTTATGTGGTAAATAATAATTTGAATTATATTGAAAAAGGAGGCTTGAATCTGTTTATTTGAATTATTTAGATGCAAATAATTTTAACAAGTTACATTTTTTACTATCCAATAATTGTAGACGGGACAGTTCATAGATAATTATGACCAAAGGTACCCCATATTATTAAAAAAATAATTAGTTAGATATATTATGGTAGTAAGCGTAATAGATTAATCTAATTAAGTTATTTCCTGACTTTCATTTGAAAGTTAAGAGCCCGGCCAGCATCGGTTCAAATGTCAAGCAAATCTATAGAAAGTGCGGCCTGCATGACAATGCCAAAAATTCAAAGTGAGAGGGACATTACAATGTCTCTAATAAGGCCTCTACGATGGTCAAGTTAGTATGAGGAGGAAAGTTGAAGATGACCAATGACTTGTTGAAGATGACCAATGACTTATTAGTTCGAGTGAAAAAAATTCGGTTTTTTTTAAGTAAAATCTTGAATTTGAATCTTGTAAATGAAAAAACAGACGTTGAGAGAGTTTCCCTCCTAATAGGATCTGACGCAGTTCGATTCCAGATTAGTCAAGATCTAATGTGGTTACCGAATACTGAGAAGTTAATACCCAAAAAAAGTTAAAGATGAGAGGAAAAGTTAGGGTTTCATGTACCTTGAGCATGTGAGGAGAGGCTTTATATTGCTCTTGTGGTGTGTGGGTCTGATTGTGTTAACATGGTTAGCACACCTAGTATAGTAGCCCAATATCAACCCGTTGTACATAACAGGCTATAAGCCCAACTTGGACCCATTTGAGAAAGGGTCTTATAAAGGAAATCACCGTCTAATTAATAATAAATGGACGAACAGAAATTAGACACATGTTATAAGTGTCATAAATGAAAATTATAAATACCCCTCATTTAATATTTACAAGATAATGACTCGCACTCAAGTTCTTTTTTATTCCCTATGTGAGAGTTTCTCTCTACAAATCATAAATTATTGCTAACTTCATAAATTATTGTTAAGAGTGAAAATGTCATCCTCGAAAATACATTCTCTGGTTTCGCAAGTATATGTTGAAGTTAGAACCTATTCGGAACCGGACCTCGACCCAACCCGAATGTTTTCTGCTTCAACAACCTACAAGCACGTTGGTCCTAGGGGCAACTAGCTGATGTTATTTGCCACCAGCATGGTACATGGGCAAAGGATGCTGCCCACTCAATAAGGCTTGGTATAGGAAGTGGAATCAGGGTTATGCCTGTTGGCTGTTGCATCCAACCTGTAGATAATGTAGTCTTATTCCTTTGGTCCCTGAAATAGAGAGGAATACAAGAAGACAATAATTTTTACTTGTTTAAAGTCAATTTTACAATAAATAAGATAATATCACGTATCTTTTATATTGATAATTATTTTTTTTTCAAGAAATCGTTTCGCCAATGCAAATTTCTTTCAAATAAAGCTTAATAGTTATTTTTATATCATTAACAAAGTCGTTCAATTGTTATAAATTTTTAGAAATATGATTGACAGCTCTAATGAGTAAGTCAATTTGTTATAGATTTCTTGTTGTTGCAGATCTCCAGTTTGTTGCCAATATGTGTCTATTGCTATAAATACACAAAGATAAAATCAAACAACATAGAACTACCTCTTACACAACAAGCCCAACATTATTTCTTTTAATATTTAAGTTCATCTTAATTTCAAACCTCTTAATTTAGTTTTACCTCTACACTTTAACCTACATTACCCTTCAACCTTAATTTAATGTATTTTCCTATAAAAATCCCAAGAATTACTTACGGTTGTCTAAGAAAGCAATTCAATTCCCTTTTTTTTAATTTGGTAATTATAAGATTTGCTACCTCTAATGATAATTTTTTATAATCAAATTGCCTCCTTTCCTTTATTGTTTACCTAAGTACTTTTTTAATCAATAAAGTGATGTCAATAGTCAATTTCATATTCTATTTTGTTTATGTTGATTTATATTTCATGTCACCAATAGATTTTCCATATTTCCAACTTCATTTATTTTAGCTTAAATTGCTTCTTCTTTTTTTTTAATTTAGAATTCCTTTTGAAAACTTTATTTTGATTTAGTTAACATATTTAAAATTCATTTAAACTTTTAGTAGTTTGGCAATCATTTACTTTTCTTGTAATTTTAGTTTTTCTTGATTACATTTGTTTAAATGAGTCCTTGGAGGCATATTCAAGCATTTTGTTGTTTAACCCATTTAATACAGAATTTCATCTCTCGTTTTTGCCAATCATTTGATCACTAAGATAGAGTTTACGATGTTTTTTCATCAACTTACAAATGAGTTCTACACTTAAAAAGGGTCATCAAAAAACTTTTTCTTGTTTTAAACAAAACAAGTGATACGTTATTTCATCATGTGTCAAATAGATTTGTTTAGATAACATAACTCAGGGGTTCTTGGCACCCAAGAAAAAGTAGTATAGCACCCAAGAAAAAGTAGTATCATCATGAGGTCAGTATCTCATAAAATTTACTTTTCTTAAATGCTCTAGTTGATACCTGGATAAGCCGTTGGGATCACCTAAGACTCGAATAATATCACTTGCACCCTAATGCCCGACTAGTATTCTCTACTTTTCGGCCACCTAGCATATTCTCTTCTTTAATTCCAAGTGAAACAAGTATGTTCCATATTGTCTTCCCAAGAAAGAAAAGAACATATTTCTTAAAGCTACTCTTATATTAATATGATTGGTGCTGAGACAGAAATCACCCAAGATAAAAGCATAAGGCAGAGACCTAAAGCTTGGAGAAGATATGGGTGGTTCGGTGCTTAAAGGTAAAGTTGATGAATCTGATCTTTATGAAGCTTTAGGATTGTGCCAATTTTCCGGTGACGGAAGCGAAGAAACCCCCCGAATTTTGCCCCTTCTGTCTTGTGTTCTAGAGAAATCTGTTCGGAGGAATGAAAAATCGCTGGAGGGCTCTAGGAGGAAGGATGAAATTACCGTATTCCATGGCTCAAAAGCACCCGGTCTGAGCATACGACAGTACCTTGATCGCATCTTAAGGTACTCCAGCTGCAGCAATTCTTGCTTTGTTGTTGCGCACATATACATAGATAGATACCTTCAAACTACGGGTGCCCGTCTTACTTCCCTCAATGTTCACCGGCTCCTGATCACAAGTATTCTTATAGCTGCAAAATTTTTGGATGATGAGTAAGTACAGTCAATTACATGCTAAACAAATTGTGTCTCTGCAGCTTGATTTAAACTGTGTTTCCTGCAGTTGTCTTGACAATGCCTATTATGCCAAAGTGGGAGGAGTGAGCACTGCAGAAATGAACAGATTAGAGATGAAGCTCCTCTTCAGCTTGGACTTTCGGCTTCACGTGACTCCAGAAATTTTTAGGAAATACTGTTACAAGATAGAGAAAGAAGGGAGCATAGAATACCATCGTTTGGAGAAAGATGAGATCAAGCGAACAACTGTAGGTTATACACACTGAGTTCATATTCCACAGATGAAATGTACAACATGCTAAGATGAATGGAATATTAAAAGTTGCGATTATACTGAGTTCCCAAAACATAGATCAATAGATGGATATCACATGATACATTGATAAAAAGTTAAATAAGTTGAAAGGGAAAAATACGCAGCAAAATTTTCTTATTGCACAATATGCCATTCTATTGTATATCTCTCTGTTAATATTCTAAAAAGCAATTGCACCCATGATATGGAAAACTAAATTTGCAACATTTTACTACAGAGTGAAACCTAAATAACTCAAATAGAGAAATCCTAAAAAAAAAAAAAATGGAAGGCACTAGCAACAGATATTCCTTTATGCTTCAACCAGAAGTATTCTTCCTTGTGGCATAGACACGGTAAGCTGCCAATCCAACAACCACCACTGCAGCTCCGACTGCAAAGATGAAACACAATCGATAATGTATTACTCTATAAACCAGAAGCAGGCAGAACCAACAATAATTAAAATTTTATTTTAAAAAAAAAAAGTGCATTTATAGAACAACTCTCCTTCTTTTTTTTTAGAAGTGGGTAAAGAACACTTCTAGTAATTTAGGAAAAAGACCATATCATGCTGCTGAAAGGGAATCTAGCTAGAAAAGTCTAAACAGGTGAACAAGTTTAGCCATTTAGCAGTACTGTTTTTCACTGAATGGATTTTGGAGCCCCTCAGAATTCTTAGTGAAATGTCTATGTTGACTGACTCTTATTGTAGACTTCAAATTAAAGGGAAAAAGTTAAGAATAGTTCCTTAGCAAGGAAACCCACACTACTAACACAATACACATTCAATTAAGTGAAAATTGCATCACAAGCAGCGCAAGGCAGAGAAAGGTAAATTCATAATTATCCACAATAATTCAAATGGAAGAGCAAAAAACATACAATAAATGATTCAACGTTAAAATTACCAGAAATAAACATAAGAGAGCGGTTTATGAGGCGATGGTACTGCTTCCGGCTTCTTCCAGCCTCTGTTTCAGGAATGCTCATATGAGGATGCTCAGCTGCATTCACAATCCTCCGGAATATGTTATTGAAATCACCCAACTTTGAGCTAATGGGAATAGGTGCTTCTATTCCCATGTCCTGACTAACCTACAAACATGAAGGTGCAACAAAATACACTCAGTCTAGCTCCGTGAGAAGAAAATTTGCAAAAAAGGGAAAACTTTCACATCACTGCAAGGTCAACAGTCATAAAAAACTCATATTTCCATTTATAAAAAGAAAACAGCACTTCAAGGCAAAATTAACACAAGGATTAAGGAGGTAATTGGGCATCCTCAATTAACCAAGGACAACAAAATGGTATGTAATTGCCTAACAAGTGAAAGTAAAAAATTGCTACCAATCACAAAATTCAACTCGTAGGCTCATCAATCCGTGATCAAAGTTACAATATGCATTCAAATGGAAGACTAGTCAGTTGTAGAAACGCCTCCTCTAGAACAACGTTAATTTTAACCAGAAAGTATCACAATCAAATTATTGTTATGGAAAAAACCTTCAGATTAAATGCATATTCATAATGGTATCCACACCCAGAAAAATGGCCTTTCTTTTTGAACAATTCATAGAAACAATTTTGCTGCTAATTCCTATGTGTCACTTAAATTACCTGCTTCAAATGCAGAATAGTCACTTACCCTGGTAGAATCTTGTATTGCCAATGGAAAGGGATCTAGATCATCTTTTGCTGCAACAATAAGGCATGGTACCTCATAACCAGTGTCTTCACCATGAGTGGCAACATCCACAAGCAACTCAGTGGCCCTCTTCCATGAGGACTCATCAGAACTGGAGAAAAAAAAAGGGGAAATCATGAAATAGCATTTCTAAACTAAAATTTCCTAAAATTTGAATGCTTGATTTTAAAAAAATTGCACTGTCTGAATTTTAAAATTACATATTTAATAATCATGGCCCTGGTTTACCTGTCATGTACAAATACTGCTATATCACAGGCAGCCAATGACTCTTTATTAGATAGTAGGTTTCTAACTCCATCTTCTGGGATTTCTCGCAATACAAGGGTTTTCTTTACTCCCTGCAAATAAAAGAAGGAAATATACTAAGTCCAAGAGCTCTACCATCCACAAAAATAACAATACAAGCAGCAATTCAGTAACCATTTAATTTCTAAAAAGGACATATATGAAAATAATGGGAAAAAAAAAGGTCTAACATTTTAAGTTAAGAACAATGAAGAGAAAGGCCAAATCTAAGAAAGTTCCAAATAATTTCCTCATCAACAAAATATATATGAGAAGAAGAAAGTGGTACACATTTTTATGCTGGATGTTATACAATCTCCAGGAACTTTTTAAACAAACCAAAAGCTTTTCTTGCTGACATGTTCCTTTCACAACACCTCCCCCAACCCCCAAAATAGTAATAACAACAACAAAAAATGACAATAATGAAAGGCATGCAAGAATGCTTATTTAACCAATAAAGAGTTTTTGCAAATGCAACAATGTAGGTGCAGTTGTGCATGCCTCTATATGCAACAAGAAGGCGGGAGAGAATTCTTTGTTCTCATCAGAATATTTGCACAAATTGTATTTGCACTTACCCCTGGGAGTTCAACAAAATTCACTGCATAATGCTCATCGATAGTCGAAGTATAAGAATCCAAATACAGCCTGCATTACATTCATAAGTTCATTCTTCAAGGAAGGAAAGAATTAAGAGCAAAGTTGAACAAGTATTTATTCAATCATAAAAGATGCATTCTGATTATAGACCTTCCAAGAAAAGAATTCAATAATGAAGACTTTCCGGCAGTCTTTGGCCCAAAAATGAAACACTGGAAAACATTTCTTTCTGATTGTTGCTTCTTGCGATCTAAGCGTCTCCTCCTAGTAACACGGATGGCAGAAGCAGGATCACCAGGATAGCCAACATATATCAAATTCTTTAGAGTACGAGCTGGGTCTAGAAGTGTCATAAGGGCCCACTGCAGTATGAAATATATGTTACAAATGATATTTATGATATTTATACATATTGCAGGAGAATAAAAACTACTAAATAACATAACAACTTGACACTAAACACACCATCCCAAATAACTGACCCACATGCTTCCCACTGAATATGCATTTGGATACATATGCAGCACCAATTTAGCAGATGCAGGTCAGAGACATTAACATTGGTAAAGTAATATGTTCAGCTGATTGCATGATTGGTTGGAATGCAAAACTTGGCATAAGAACAAGTGGCATATCGTTTACACAGGAGAAATTAACATGCAGATACAAATAAACAAGTTTTGTGCCTCAGTAAATAAAATAAGCTGGTGAATGGAAAAATATTTAAGTGACAGAGGGAACAAAGAGACAGTAAAAACATCAAATACCTCTGACAAAAAAGCATCGAGTGATAGCCCTCCTAGTGCAGTTCTTTCTGCAGCATCCTTATATGGAGCATCACTCCAAGGACTGAAGTTAAAACAGAAAATGTCAAGCACTACATAGTACAGTCCAAAGATGAAAGTCTCAGCAAATGTTTTCTATAGAAGTCAAACTTGAATGTATTTCATGGGGATCTGTCATACCTTTCTGGAGCAGTAGAAAATAACTCTTCAACTTCTTGAGGTCGAAGGTTATTATCCTAGCAAGAAGAAAATCCCAATTCTCAATCAGTACTTGAGTATTTGCACAACCAGAAAGCTAATCACATTTTTGTAGTCCAAACTATAGTAAAGGCCATGGAAATAGATTTGAAACTTAATAGCAAAGACTGAGGAAAAAATAATACATACAAAATCACTGTCGAATAATTCATAAAGTCCCTTTAAGAACTCAATAGCATCATTTGTCAGCTCCACACTCTACACAGATGACAACCAAAACAAGAAGCAAGTTAAGAAATAAAGCATGTACAGAAAAAGAACAACTAGAGTACATACAGCATACATATCAGATACAGAAAAAGTATGTGATGACTTTTTAAAACAGTATCATGCATGCTAGTTTTGACATCTCTGATCAGACAAAGGAATAGATTGTAGTATTCCAGTGGCCTGGTTAATCATATTCTAGAATCAGAATCACAAATGAATATTTGGAATAATGCTTGTTCTTCCAGGTTGACCAACTTCAATCAATCTACTGTTTGCTGTTTTGCGAGATATTGTAGATGCAAAAACTACCTTTTACTTCCGCAAGCCATTACCTGATCAGGAGCTCGCTTAAATGAAGAATATGGAATTAGCTCATCCAAAAGTTCAATATCATTATTATATCCAAATTTCCTCAAGACAGTCCATGTTGTCTCCAGGCGTCCTTTTTCTATAAATAGTGCATGAAGAAATAGAAATCCTGTCAACGTAAGGCCTCGTTCATTGACCCCTTCAACCAACTTCTCTTGGACAACCCTCTTAACACCCACTATTTCCGAAGGTTGTAAAGGAGCATTAAAACATTTGACCTGTCATACAACAATTATTAGATCCCTCAGTAATTTCACAAATGATAATTCAAAGCCACATGGAGAAGAGTTTGTTTTCAAACACACAGAAAATATCACATAAACAACCGCATATCACATCCACTACTCAATCTGTATCAACAATCCACTCCCTTCCCCAACCTCAACCCCCACGAGAATAGGGATAAAACCCCATAAGTAAATAAATTAAACAAAAAATGAGAACCTGAAAATCATTCAACTCTGCATCGCTAAGAGCACCATCCCTGTCATGATCACAGAGAATGAAGATACGTTTCAATGCTCTTACACAGCGTGACTTTAAAGTTTGAGATTCCTGATCAAACAGCGGTGCCGTTGGATGAAGCACAGCTTTTTGTGCATAGTAGAAAACCTCAGGTATCTACATTTAAAAATTAATAAAAAAAAAATCAATTTCTAACAAATTAAATTTAATTCAACAACCAAAGGAACTAAAAATGGATAAGAAATCAATCTCATCAAACAAACTATAAAGAGACTCCTAAGAGTGAAGTCAAATCCTCTAGGTTGCACATGTGTTCTAAGAGACAGATATGGTTGCATGTGAAATCAAATTCCAATCAAATGCCTAAATATTGGCCAAAAAAATTTAAATGAATAAACAATACAAGCAGATAACCAAAACAAATACCAGATACATTCTAGTCAGCATTGTAACACTATTAAAATATCATTACACTTGCATCCAGCAAAACAACCTAGAATAGAAAAGAGGCCTGAAGATGTACCTGAATATGTTTAAATGCAGAACATTCAATACAGGTTTCAATCTCCCGGAATTGTTGCATTATTGGTGACATCACCTGTTCTAAGCTAATTGGCTGTTGTTCATCTCTTAAATCCAGCTTACAACCCACTACAATTACTGGCACTTTCACCTGCTCAACAAAAAATCAGCTACATGCATTACAGTATTGTTTCTATGAGAACTTTTCCTGAGTAATTGATTTATAAAAGCAGAAATGATCAGTAAGGTTAAGTTTACCAAAGTAAAAATTCCGATAATATATATACAGACATTGACCCTTCTAACATTATTTTTACATGCTAAGTTTATTTTACACAGAAACAAATGAAACTAATTATAAATCTTTTTTTTTTTTTTTGGGGGGGGGGGGGAGGGTAGGGACGGGAAGAGAAGGCAAATCATGGTAGAAACCTCTAACTGGCGAAGTTCTGGAAGCCAGAAAGTACTCAATCTGTTAAGGGTTTCAGGTCGATCACACGCATATGTAAGAACTACTGCATCAGCACGCCTCAACTCCTCCGCTAGCTTAGCTCTATCCTCAGCGCTGACTCATCCATAAAACAAATAGAACATCAAACAGATATTAAAAACTAATAATTTACACAAGAACATATCTATTAACTAATGGAAACAAAAGTATAGATAGGAAATTTGTAAAAGTACCTAAGGTTATTCATTGCATTTGTGTTTTCTTTTCAATGTCAAATGAATAATTTGACTCAATTGACTCAGGAATTTTGGGATGAATCAAATTAATGGTAAGTGGTGGCTGATGAGAAGCACTTGCTCTAAGTCTTGATTTCTAGATTGTTTTATTCGTTTATAGGCTATTTTGTGCGTGCACAGACAGAATCAATAGTTCTTAATTATCCTAGCTTTCTTCGCCTTGGCTTAGTTTTCCCAATCCAAAAACTTCTAACGAAACTAAAAATTCAAGTAACAAAAAAAATAAACAGGGTTAGTGCAAGATCAGTTCTCTCATGGCCCTAAACACACATATGACACCCACAATCACAGGACATGTTCTACTTATTTATAGCTAATATGAAAAGGAGTTACTTAGTGTCAAATATGGTGATGGGAACTTGGTCGGGGTAGAAATCCTCCGGCAGCCGCGTTGGCGGCAAAAGGGGAGGAACATTGGTAGGAAAAGTGTCAGCTGCGGCAGTCACAATCAAACTAGACTTTCCAGTTCCACGGTCGCCAGCTACCACGATACGAACCCCCTTCTTGGCACCAGAATTTGAAGTTTTAGCCATTGACAAAAGAACCTGCAGGGTGAACAAACAACCAAATAACACAATGATTGATCAAAACTCTATAGAACCGTTATTAGCTTCATAATCAGTTGCATTAATGGCTATAACACAGTAGCACAAACGTTACAAAACAGATTTAGAGTGAGGAAATTGCTAAGAAGCCAATCCAAAAGCTCCAGGAAGACGACGAGGCAGGGATTTTGCGATGGAGCTGATCTCAAATTACTGAATGTAAACTGAGAGAATAAAGCAAGAAACCCTAGCTTATGAGCCAAAAAAAGAAGCCAAGAACCTCAGTATTGCGGCGGAAAGATGGAGACTATCGGCTTTCTGCGGATGAGAGACCACCAAAACCCTAGGCGGGGCGGCGGTGGCGAAAACAGTGGCTATGGAGGACTTTGGAGGCGCTGTTGGTAAAGTTGTGAGGAAATTTCTGGTAGTACAATGAAAATACAGGATTGATTTTATATTTTTTGTTTTTTCTGGAGTACCCTCTAAGTTAGTCACTGAACTTATTTTATTTTCTAAATCCAGTACTTAAGCTTTATTTTGAGTCCAATTAAGCTCAAATAAGTACTTCTTGATTCTTTATTATTATTATTGAACATTAGGAAATTAGGGGAGGGGGAGGGAAGGGAGATAACATTATAAGGAATTGACCAACGAGGGGTTGGATCAAGTGGCAAGCGGTTTGTTCCAGCTTAAGCAAGGTCTCGAGTTCGAAACCTTGTGTACACAGCAGCTTTCGGGAGACCCACCCACCATTCTGGTGCGCCACAGTTGGTCGAGTTCGGAGTAGTTGGGACGAAGCCCCGGATACCGGGTGGGAAACCAAAAAAAAACATTATAAGGAATTGACCAACGAGGGTTTGGATTAAGTGGCAAGCGGCTTGTTCCAGCTTAAGTAAGGTCTCGAGTTCGAAACTTTGTGTACGCAGCAGCTTTCGTTGGGAGACTCACCCACCATTCTGGTACGCCACAGCTGGTCAAATCTGGAGTAGTTGGGGCGAAGCCCCGGATACCGGGTAAGAAACCAAAAAAAAACATTATAAGGAATTGAACCATAATCATGTCCATGGTTAAAATGCACTTTACCAATACAACCACAAGTGTTTCTTAATTCTTTATTAATGTAGAAGGGAAAATGGACTTTAAATCTTAGTTATTGTTTGTATTTTATAGAGGTTTTTCAATTTTAAGTTGATTTTATAGTTTAACCAAGAAATGGTTACAATTACCACAATTAAATAAAAGGAAGGTGCAATTCGGCCCATATACCTATAATGTTGTCGTAGATCAACCCCTATACTAGAAACTATGGCAAATCAACCCCTCTACTTCATGATATCCACAAAATAGCCCTTTTAGTGAGAATGACATCATCTAGCCATTAGACCCCTCCATTGCCCATTAAAGTCTGATGAGTTGGCACTAACTAGGAGCTAATTGGGCACCGATGTGGACAATTTGCTCAACTTGGGTTAGTTGAGATGGCAAGGTAATGTTTTACCTAAACTACCCATACCAGAACAAATAAAATTGGGGATCCAGGGTTTCAATCTCACCCTCGATTATAACTTTCCCTTTATTTTGATTTGCTTTTACTCATTTCCATTCCTTTTGGCCTTGATTTCTTTCCCTTTGTTTTGGTTAAAGTTTAAGGTGATTTGGGCCATAGAGATATCATCTTCAACCTCATTCCATTCTGTTTCTTCTCCATCATCAGTTGAAGAATGGGGAAGCATGGAGATCGCATATGAAGGAAAGCAGAGGTATTGTGATTGTGGTCTAAAATGTCCTTGTTGGAACTCTTGGACTGAGGGACTTACATTTTCAATGTTGATTTCATATACAAGTAGGTTTCTTCTCTCTTGGGAGCTTGTTCTGTAGGCAACCAAGATATGCCCAACAACTAAGGCAAAGGAGCAGACAAACAGGGCGATCTCCACGGCTCTGACAAACCCTCCTCAATAAACATTTGTAGTGAACACAAATGAAGCTTTTATCGAAACGAAAATCAGAGACAAAACTAAACAAATCATAGCAATCCCTAGGTAAGGCCCTTTTGAAAGCCTCAGTCCATTGCAAAGGCTATATACACCTACAATAAACAAGAAAGAATGACATAAACCCATCAATCCCCTACTAAAAAAAAGCAATTCAATGAATACCCAGATGAATTTCATGCTTAAAGTTCATACTTACAAAGTATAATGGCTAATCTTATGATGGAGATGAAAGGCATATCAATGGGGGAATACTGAAAATCGTAATTATTAAAATGGGAGGAAAGCGTTCCCAGGGAAAGGGATGAAGGAGAAAGAGAAGTAGAAAGCAAACCAAAAGGTAAAAGGGTATTGACAATAACAAGAAGGAAGGGAGCAAAGAATAGGAGAAATGAAATGACCATGGTGATCAAGAAAAATAGAGTATTCAAACCTCATCATACTTTCTCGATTTCTCATCTTTCACAAAACCCATGTCTTTTTGTTTTGATTCGAAGAGTCTTGAGTTCTGAAAATGGCTTAAAAGGGGTAGGAAGAGTTGAGGAGAAGAAAAAAGGATGAAAATGATGACAAAGGCACTGGGGCGTGTGTGGAGGTTCAATATTTTGACTAGACTTGAGCGCTAAGGCAAGTGATGACAGAGATGGGTCCATATTAGTGCCCAATTAGCTCTCAGTCAATGCTAACTCATTAGGCTTTAACAGGCAATGGATGGGTCTAACAGTTAGATTATGTCATTCTGACTAAAAAGGTTGTTTCGTGGATGTCATGAAGTAGAGAGGCTAATTTGCCGTAATTTCTAGTATAGGGGTTGATCTGCCACAACGTTGTAGGTACAAGGGCTGAATTGCACCTTTGCCTTAAATAAAAGTTGAAAATTTTGAAATCACTATTTCACTTGCTAAAATTCAAGAAAATTAAATACATCAGACTAAGCAATAATTTGGGTGCCTTAAAATCATAAGAAATTAATTTCAAGATAGATATGATATTGTTCAAACAATAAATAAAGGTTAACTAAGAAAATTTATGTGACAATGGGAGCTGCATAAAATGCAATTTTCCAGCCAGTACCATCATGGCATGTTTAGGTTTTTGCCAACATATAGGCCGAGGTCATATGTTTATGGGTTTAATTGCTAAATATTAATATATATATATATATATATAGGGTTTGATTATAAGGAAAAATAAGTTTAGTATCTAGCGTAACAATTATTTTTGTTTAAATAAAGCATCCATCATTTATTCCTCAGCAAGGAAAAGCGCCTCTTCTGAAATTCTAATCCTGACCCTCGTTACAAAATCCGAGTGGATGGCGATCACTTCAGAATGGGAACGGCAAGGTATCGTATCAAACTTTGCTTTTTGTAGAATGTCACAAATTTATCATTTTTTTTTTTTTGTAAAATATAAATTTAATTTAAAATTTAAAAATCTATTTTATTAAATATTAATATATGAATTTAAAAACCTATTTTATTAGATTATATTTCTAAATGTAAATATTAATATTTATTAAGATAAATTTTTAAAATTAAAATTTAATTTTAATTATATGAAATGACATTATTTAAGGTTGTAATTTTAATTTTGTTTAAGTCAAAACTAATAAAATACACATTTTTATATAAATAAACTTATGATTTTAATGCATTTTAAATTATTTTTATTCAAGAGATTAGGGGTGGGCCAAAAAATTGCCAAAAATAAAAAATAAAAATCAATGAAACTGTATTCGACTATTAGAGTTTGATTGTGTTTTTGGTTTATTTAACTAAAAACCAAATTGAATCAATTTTAAATAGTTTGAGTTTTAGTAGCTAATTCTAAAAACTAAAAAAACCAATGACTAAGGTATGTATAACCAAAAAATCTAACTTAAAAACCTTTTATATAAATTTTTAATGATTTTTAGATTTTTTTAAAGTTTTCTTGTTATTTTTCCCCAAATCATTGATTAATTTAAGTAAACTTTATTTTTTTGTGATAGAAATTAATAAACAATAATTAAGAAATTCAAAAAATTACTTAAAAGCATAAAAATAATTATTTAATTAAAGTTAAAATTAATCTGAATAATCATTTTTAAAAATATAACCAAAACCAATAAAACCCTTCTTTCTCAATTTAATTAATGATTATTAAAATTTAACATTTGAAATTTCAGTTAACAAACAGTAATTCAATTTTGATTAATCATACCTACCTCTATTGTAATATTATATATATTTATATTTATTTTAAATTTAAAATTAATTTACCCCAAATTTACTTCTTCTTTTTTTTTTTGCTTTTTTAAACAACTTTTTTTAAATGGTTGGCAATTAAAAGGAGGAGATTCAAACCAAATCTCTAAAACTAAGGAAATGTACCTTACAATTAGGCTTTGAATTGTTGGGTCACGAGGTAGGCAATTTTTTTTTAACAATTAAAGCGTCTTAATCTAAAATATTTGAAGAAATTAATTTTTTTAAATAATAGTTTCAGATTCTTACTCCTTAGAAGTAACTTACAAATTGTTAAACAGTTACGTAGCCTTCCCATTTCTTCGTTCTTTCTCTTCACCCTTCTCTCCGCCTGCCTTGACACGGTGTCC